GTCCAGCACATGCATTTCAAGCAGCAGTAGAGCATGGCGGGCAGGACCAGCCTCGTCCACAGAGCATGTCCTCGAATCGTGCAGTGCCTGAGCCTTTGGAGCGCCACATTTGGTTTCAATCCAGCTGACAAGATTTCAATCAAGAGGCGGTGGTTCCTTGCTATTTTGCCAAAGCGCTTAGTCAGCTCAATCACCATATCACCCAGGTTACCTACATGAAATGCTCGATGACAAGTTTTGCTTGACTGGGCCCAGGCTTGGAGTGACGCTTGTGAAGTTGCGCCAAGGTTCTGGAGCTCACTGCCAAGTGCGCTGGGAGCAAGTCATGGTCAGGTCATTGGTTTGGCTAGCGAGAACTCAGAACCTACAGCGACCCCGACCTTCGAAGCCTTTCTAGGGAGGCGCCTACTCCTTCTCCTTCCTGTTGAAGCGTTCAGGCTAGTTGGGAACCCTGGAATGTTGAATCGCTTATGCAACGCTTAAGAGAGGAGGACATGTCTCCAAGTTCTCTTTGCATGCTCTTCGCAAGTGCCTTGAGAGGCTCGCCAAAGAGCCCGACGAAGAGGACCAATCTGTTCCTTTGCAATCAGCGCGCAGTCAAAGAAGTAAATCGGTAAGGCCAATGGCGTATAGGCCATGTCTGCCAGGAGGCAAGCTTCACCGAAGTCTCGGGAGCGTGCTGCGGGCTGAGATTGTCATGATTGCCTTGAAGGCCAGACATGGATCTATTGTTGTCCAGGGGGACTTGGAAAAGCATTGAAGTAGTTGGTGTGGCTGCATAATGTGGTTCTTGAATCAAGCAGATATGTTTCGCTCTCCTGCGTCATCAGAGCCATGATGGGTTGCAGGTGTGCTCTCCCAAGGTAGTTGACAGACTGTGGGGTGACCACTTGCGGCGGAAAGACCGAGCAGAGGCACGAATCACTTTTGGCACCTCTTAGATATGATCAGTCAACTCGATGCCAGCCGAGGCATCATTACGGCTGTGTCTTGTTGTAAGGGTACCGTTTGTAGCCTTGTTTTGACTGAAAGAAATGCCTACGTGGCCAAGCATGCTGTAATCATGGAGCATAGTCTAAGTCAGAGTGCAGACGCCTGAAAGAATCGAAGGGGCCCGGGAGAGAACAGAGCAGGGAAAATATGTAGTTGTTGCTTCTGTGTGTGTGTGTGTGTCATATGCTGACTGCCAGGCGCGAATGGCACTGGCAGGGGTGCCATGGAACCAATCCAAGATGGACGAGGCAGCAATGATTGCAGACAGCAACCTCGTTGGAAGGGCCCGGCAAGCTCAGGCATGATGTTTTGCTACCGAAGCTGATCAAACGTTGTGTCAGCTGTTGTCCAGCCAGAGAATGGAGCCTTTCAGCTGCCGAAGTAGTGCAGAGCATGTAGGTGTTTCTTGATACTCATTTCGCACCACGTCGTTTCCCCTTTTTGTGTTTACCCCTGGGTTCCTTTCATATTTGAAGACAGCTGTTTCTTTTGTGCAAGCCGCTGTCCCTGCGAGATTTCCACTATGGCGCCGAGCTCCTTGCAGAACTCGCGATTCTCGGAGCTCATCGAGGAGCCGGCCTAGCACACACCTAGCCGATTGCACGAGACTGTGTCAGAAGTTGCGTTTCTTTGGCCTGGAACCGCTTCGAGCTAGATGCAAGCAGCTACCATGACAAAATGTAAATCACAATTCGAAGTGGCTGTTCTGGCCTTTGGACGGCCAGGGCGGGCATGTAAGCAAAAATAGTTCCCGCTGATTCGCGGGGCATATGGCTTTGGTGGCAAGTGGGAGATGCTCTCGATGAGTTGAGTGTTTGGCTCCTCTAGGTGCCATGGTATGTTCACAGTCCGAGTCTTTTGCTTTACGCACACATCCACTCAAAATGCCATTTCTCCGCTTACACTCAGACCTTGTTCAAGCGAGGAGCAACAGTTCCCCGAAAAAGGTGCAGCTTGTGCTATCATGGCTGGTGCACATGACTTCGTGCATTCCGTAGCCGTGGTTCCCGGCATGAATCCACTTGCCGACAAGTGGCACTGGGTGTGTCTTTTTCGCACGTACCCCCTTTTAGGTGGTTGTAAACCACAAGGAAACCGGGGTCCCCTATCCTGAGACCCGTGTTCATGGCGTGTAGCTGAAATCTACAGCCCTGCGGGATTGTTGCTAAGTTGGCATTTCTCCAACAGACTCTGCGGACATTCAACCTGAAAAATCCCGCGGAATTGAAGCCATTTGTGTATGCTTTAGCGTGTCCCATGTATCCCAGAGCTTAGGATCTTGCAGGCTTCTGAACACTTCGGGAAGATAAGACCTTGGTCACAAGAGCGCATGTTGCCCGTGAAACTATAAAATACGAAACTGTGCAAAACCGCCCAGAGGGTATTCTAGTCTTTCTGGATGCACACGCATAAATTATTCAAATGCTTTCCAGTGGACGGAACCGGCCCGCTGCAGGCGCCGCCACCTTGTTCTTGGATTCGTCAGGTCAGTCCAACGCCGCAGCCGCGCTTTCAAAAAAACGCGGTGCATGGGTATGTTGGTTGAAGCGGATTGCTTCCACAAAAAGTCCACGCAAGTTGTCGCGCGGCTTTTAGCGGGCCTCCAAGGCACCATGGTTGGGGGTATGGTGCTTGTTTCTTGTGCCTCGCTTGCCAAATCCAAGCTGATTGTCCCAACGGCAACATCTGAAAAAAGAGAATGCATTCAAAACAAGAATGCTAACTCCCTTGTCGAACTCTGACTTTGTGAGAGCAGCGAGCTGTCATTTGCTCCTTGCATGATGTCGACCAGAAGAGTTGTTCCAGAGAGTGTCCAGCTTGAATCTCTGTTGATACAGGACCTCCGCGTCAAAGCCCGGCACTCGATGTATCATTGGCGATGCGCCATCTCATCCATGATCCGTGATGCTTATTGCACGATGCTCAGGACATCTCGGTGCTGCCAGAGGACAGCGGCTTCACGTCTTTGTTTGTGCGTGCATGGCTTTTGGCATTGGCGTGCATCTAGACAGGCGCGGGCAAGATGCAAAGGGCATTCAACTGGAACAATTCTGTTGGGGGCTCACACTGAAAAATACAGGATTCCTCTTTTGCTACCCCTAATGACTTCACCCTGGGTTGTTTGCCAGAATAGGGAACCCTTATCTCAGATGGAGCGGAGAAGGAACACCCAGTCCGCGCCAGGGCAGGCAGACCGCAGTGAAATTGGATAGGACCCAGTGGAGTCCTTTCTTCAGCGGTCAAAGAGGCCCGGACGCTCAAGTGATTCCTCATTCGTGATTCATCATGGGTCAGGCAGGTTGGCATCATCACAGTCAAGATGACTTCGAGAGCGTATCAAAAGCCTTTGTGGAGAAGATGAGCATGAAGAAACTTATTGTGAATTTTGCATGAGCCGAATCAGGCCGTTCTCAAGTGAAGAACCAATGCCGACAAGGTAGATGTTGATAGGACAATTTCGGGATTGATGTGGTTATATGTGGTCTCAAGGCAGGTGATCATGGTAAGTACTGTACAATTTGGCGGCCCAACTATAAAATTGAGAGGCCTGAGATGCAAGCAGCAATAGCCTCACTGGTCGTGGTGAGCTGTGCCGGGACAGGCACACTAAGGAAAAGCACGCAAGGATCAGTCCGCCAACCGCAGAGCGCAGCCAAAATCACGATTCTGGAAAGAAGCTTGTTTGTCATTTTGAATTATCCGCGCCCTACCAACCAACCAACCAACCAAGCCAAGCAATCTCAACAATCGAGTCAAGCATCAAACAAAGTTGACAGCAAAAGATGACGCATGCTGCGTCCGATAGCTTGAGTGAGGGTTGCGTACTGCAGGGATGACAGCCGCATGCTCGGAGTGATGTCGACAACATGCATTGTGCTTTGGTGTAGGTTGAAGGGCCAGCAGTCCTACTCCTACTTAGTACTACTTGATCACATGATCATTCATGGCGAAGGCTGTGCAATTGAACGGCACATGCACAGCAGATCTGTGATGACGTTCAAGTCAAGTCAATCAGTGCGCTGCCCAGGTCCAAAGTTTGAGCTCGCCAAAAAGCATTCCGGCCGTCTTGAGGCAGGCCGATGAGAGACAGAGCACTCAAAAACCACTGTGTTGCCCATTTTTGGTGGCTTCTACTGCAGGATTGAATGGGCGTCACAGTGAGGCCCAGGAACCTAGCTATTGAGCAAACTAGAGACCAATGAGGTGACTCATGGTGACAGGTGTGACCGCAACGGCGTTTGCCGTACCCAGTGGAGATCCGATTATTCCGTAGACGCATCAGTTCAAAGAGCATGGCCGTCAGGAGGCAGCCAAGTCAAGAAAGCTGAAGGACTGGGCACCAATTTGGAAGGTTTGACATCCGAGCTCTTGAATTATTGTCCATGCGTGTTGCATTGACACGCATACGGTCACCTGCAGCCATGCATGCGGTCGAACAGTAAAGATTGGGTTTACGATCTGGGCGATACAGGCCAGTTGGTGGCGAAGGAAATCAATTTGTTCATTGCTCTCGCAGGTCTTGGTCAGATGAGACGATGACCAAGAGCGGAGAAGGGCCAAATGGCATACAATATTCATACCCCCGAATCATACTTCGAATCATACCTGTCTGAGCAATCCAACGTGAACGCCTCTCGTTTTTGTTTCCCCTTTCCTACACACAATTATTAATAGGTGGGAAAGGAACAGAAAGAGAACCATTATTTCATTCATCAAAGATGAATTCTGGAAATGATGACCCTTTTATCTCTATATCATCTCCTTTCCAATCAAGAATCATTAATAATTGAAAGGCGATGGAGACAAAGTATTAGAACATAGACCATGAGATTCTTTGGAAACGAAGGGACGAAGCAAAGATAAATTATATGGAAAGATATGGCAGGCTCTCATTTATTGGTTGTTGTCTACCTCCTTTCATCTTTGCAATGTACTTCCAAACGAAAGGAGAGATTATAGATATAATAGTAATTTTGGATGAATATGATATGAGGGAAAAGATGCCGGCCCCACATCCTATCATCTAGAAATGACTTTCGGATATGGAAGAAGAATGAAAGAGATGAAGGGCCAAATTCTTCTATCGCTTGGGAAATAGTAAAGATATGATGGCTCGTTACAACTCACTCATAGATAGATAATGGGCGAGCCGTCCTATTTTCACCTCTTAGTCATTCATGTTAATCGTATTTTCGTGGATGGTTTGCTTCCTCTTTGCTTAGTCTATAGACGAGGGTGCGTAATAAAAACGAGAAAATGAAGATGAAGAAAGGTGAGGAAAAACCTATATCTCGGAATGATTTTTTTTTTATTACCTAATGTTTGAATTTGTTAATGAACGAGGGATATAGGAAAGGGAGTTGTGTTTTATATATATTTTTTTATGTTTAATTAAAATATTAGATGTGTGTGGTATGTATTTGAGCTTAATAAATATATATGAATCAAAATATTATTATTTTGTATATTGAAATAATAATAATGATTGAATTGTGTTTATGTTTTAAGCGCTTTGTTAAGGTTGAGAATTTAAGAAAACGATATATAGTTATAGTCTTATGGAAGGTAGGCACAATTGTAGGAGTAAATGGCTGTAAATGGACCTGGAAAGGTTTGTAAGTTTACGGCTTAGTGTTGGAATAATTGCAAATTAGGTATTGCACGATTTTAGAGACTTATTTATTAGTAATCCGCAGTATGTTTTTCGATAGTAGCGGCTTTGCTAAAAATATATCTTAGAACTCATACGAAGTGTTGAAGTGGGCATATAGCTGAGCAAGTTTGTTAAGGGCTATTACTTGTTGCATCTTGTGTTGTTAGGGCTTGATGGAGACATTGCCGATTCCTTGATTGTGAGACTTTTTTGCTGTTCAATAGGCGTTGATCTTTGCGCGGACCACGTGGACAAAGCCCACAGATATATCCGCCAATTTTGTCAAGGTTGCTTCAAATGGCTGGCCCTGGCCTACTTCAACACCCACTATAATTGTCTCTCCAATTAGCCCCCCTCCCCCCTGCTGGCGTTTAACAGCTCATCGCACACGTGTAAAAACATACAAAAGTGTGATGGGGGTCAAACTTCCAGCTCGCTTCGAAGTTAACACTGGGATTGCTTCGGGGGAAGCACCGCGCGACTTGTTTGGAAGCTTGTTAATCGACTTGTTTGGAAGCTTGTTAATCTTGCTGACCGTTTTCTGGGGCATCGTGTCGCTCACCTCGGTCTCTTCTTTGAGAAGTAAGTGCGAAGAAGTTAGCAATATAGACGTGGACCCTATCTACTTGCTAAGTGATTTACGACCGCCGCTCGTATAGGGCTTGCTGCATTTTGCTTTGAGTAGGGCCGCCCTGAAAACAAAGTACGTGTTTTCATTGCTTTTAAGTGACGCTGGATCAACGCACTGCCGGATATGAGCCCTAGGAAGCATTCGTTCCAAAGAGTAGTGGTGTTTAGTTTCCTAGCTCAAGCAAGCGCATCGTCGCAGCGCCATGCTGAAGGGCACGAGCTTTGCGCCGTAAGCGAGGCATAACAGAATTCAGCTGGGCCCCTGTGATTACTTCCTGCTCCGGCCAAGGTTCAAGTCGATCCACACCACCCCATGGCGATCGTGGGCTGGCGATGCCGGTGATGCACTCCGTAGATGAAGGCGACAGGTGTCCGTGCGACGAATTAGCTAATTCGTCAGAGCGAGAATCAGCTAGACGTCATTGCTGGTGATGTTGGCGATGCTAGTGATGCCAGTGATGCCGTCTGTGGATCGAGATGACGGGCTTCCGTGCGACGAATTAAGTAATTCGACAAAGCGAATACGTTGCTTGGTATTAGACGCTGCCACTGCGCCGCTCCCACGAGTCCTGGAAAAGCCTTGACTAGTTTCCAGCCCCAAGCGTTTTCTGTTCTTACGCCCGACGGGCATAAGAACAAGATGGGGCTAACCGGAACAAGTGACCTAGCCATTTATTCGCTAAAGTGCTTACTTGTTCTTAAGCCCGCCGGGCGTAAGAACAAGTGACCCATGACGCAACAATGCCTTTAGCCGCGAAAAACGGCAGCCATTAACAAAACACAAGTTAGAAACTCTCTTGCAGAATGCCCAAATCACAAAAAATGCAGCCCGACTAAGCAAGCCAGTAATAGGCCCAGGAAAAATTGTATAACAAATTGATACCCACACACAACAACCAAATTAGAAGCCCTAGTTAAAAAGCCAACTTCACGAGAATTATCAGCCAGACCAGTAGGTCAGTGCCAGGCCTTGAAAAAATCCAGCCGCACAAAATACACGGCGAACAAAAAAGACTCTAATTTACATAAAAACCAACTTCACGAAAACCATCAGTCCGACAAATAGGCTAATGACAGGCCCTGACAAAAAGCCAGCCACGCAAAAAAAGGCGGGTGAATAAATTCAAAACAGTCGTTCTACCTAAAAATATATGATTAGGTGATATTCCCTCATTGGGTTGGGGCCCGACTGCTAGCGGGGTCGGGGCCCGACAGCACGCACAATTTCCTTTGTGACCGGGCGCTAAAATGTAACCTACACAGATGACTACAAAGGTCATTTAAAAAACAAGATACGTTTCAATCATGTTCCTTTGTCTCCTGTTCCTTCTGGTCTCTTGTTTGTTTTGCAAGTGGGATGTCTTCGTCGGGCTTCTGGTTTGTTGTGTGGTTGCTACCCTTTTTTGCGCGGCTTGATTTTTTTATAGGGCTGTTACTAGGCTGCTTGGTCGGGCTGCTGCTTTTCGTCAAGGTAGAGTTTCTAATTTGCTTGTGTGTGGCTGCCTTTCTTTTGTGCAGATTGATATTGTTCAGGGCCTGTGGTTGGGCCCCAATTCCGTCGGCGGTCGGGCCCCGACCCCGTCGGCGGTCGGGCCCCGACCCCGCCGGCGGTCGGGCCCTGACCGCGTCGCCGGTCGGGCCCCGACCCTGCCGGCGGTCGGGCCCCGACCCCGTCGCCGGTGGGGCCTTAACCCCCTCGGCGGTCGCACCTTCAATGGTTCTAATTTGCGTGTTGTTTGTAGTTGCCGCCGTGTTTTTGCAGCTAGCTTTTGTTTAGGGCCTATCACTGGCCCGGGCTGATGCTTTTCGTAAAATGTGATGCTTTTAGTAGGGCTTCCAATTTGTTTGTTGTGTGCGGCTGCTTTTTTGCGAAATTGTTTTTCAGGGCCTGCTAGTTGTTTGTTTGGTCGGGGCTGCTGCTCTTCGTCAAGTGGGATGTTTTTAGTGGGGCTTCTGGATTTTTTGTGCGCGGCTTGTTTTCAGGTCCTGTTATTGGTCTGCTTGTTCGGGCAGCTGTTTTTTGTCAATTGTTTGTTGGCAAGTAGAGCCTTTAACTTGTTTGTTGTGTGTCGCTGCGCTTTGTGTTTTTGCAGTTTGTTTTTGTTTCGGGCTTATCATTAACCCACTTGATTGTTTGTTGATTGTTTGTGTTTCTTTTTTAAAAGAAAAAAGATTTTTTTGCGTAGGGCGTCTAATTTGCTTGTTGTGTGTGGCTGCCGTTTTGTTGCGCTAGTTGTGTTTTTTTTTTTCAGACCCTAGCGTTGGCCGACTGGGTCGGCCTGCTGTTTTTCGTGAAGCGAGATCTTGTTTGTAGGGCTTGTAATTTTTCTTTTTGTGTGTGGCCCCCGTTTTTTTTTGCGAAGTTTGTTTCTTTCAGGGCCTATTTGTCGGGTTGATCACTTGCGTGAAGTGGGACGTCTTTCAGGAGGGATCCTAATTTGTTTGTTGTGTGTGGGCGCCGTTTCTTTTTGCGCAGCTGGAGTTTTTCAGGGTCTGCCATGGGTCTGTTTGGCTTTGGTCTCTTGCTGATGTTTGGGGCAAAACCCAGCAACAGTGGATTTTTATATATATTGGGGGGGGGTGCGATAGGATTGTGGTCGCAGCTTAAATGTATATGTGGGGGTCCCCCTTCCCCCCTATATAGGGGTCCCTCGTTATATATTATTAACAAATAATATATATTAATATATAATATAATAGAATTAAAACACAATTATTATTTATTGTTTTTTTGGGAAAGGTTTATATAAATCTACACGGCTTACGAGGGGCGGGGCTTATGCGGAATCTAGGTTGTTGTTTAGTTGGGTTTATATTTTATGTTGGTGCTTTGGTATTTTGAATCTAATTTGAATCTTTAAAAGGATGATTTTTACATGTTATTTTAGGTTATGAATAATTTGTTTTGTTTAATTTAGTGTTGGGTTCTTTTTTAGAAGAGGTTTGGTTTTTGTTAATGGAATCGATATTGAATTCTCGAGATTGATTTGGAGATAAAAGGAATTGAACACATAAATAGGTGGATAAAACTCTCAATGCAAAATTTATTAGGTAATTATATATTCCAAATTATTCAAAAAATATTTATATTTGTGTTTATGGTTATAAACTCGTAAATATGGAAGGTAAAAATTAAAATAATTTTAAATCATAATTTTGCAAATTTATTATTATTTATATAATTTTAATTATTAATATATTCAAATAAATATAATTTTAATATTATTATTGATTTTCTAAATAAAATACATCCTAAAAAAATTATCGATAATTTTTATTATTTATAGAGATAAACAAATTTCATATAAATTCGGATTAATTTTAGATTATTTAATTAATAAATAATTTCGAAATTTAATTCAATTAATAATTATATTTAGGATCCGACTATGAACATCTTCTATTAATAAACAATAAATCTCATAATAATAAATATACGCTCAATTTTACATATATATATATATCGTTAATACAATCCGGCAAATTATTCCATATCCAATAATCCGATATAAATCAATATAAAAAGATTTTTTTTAAAACAAAATATATATCTAGAAATATATAATTAAATTACATAAAAAATCTTCAGACTCCGTATCACCAACCTTCATCCAAAACTATACCTAGGGCTTAACACAATAAATCTTTAATTTCATAAAATAAAAAACAAAAAAATAAACCAAACAAATTTATTCAACAAATAATCTATTTCAAATAACCCATCCTACTAATCTATATAATTAAAGAAATCCAATTTTATAATCCCGATGCCACCTCTATTATTTTCTAAAAATTTAATCTACAAAATTACATAACCACATATTAAAGAAATATTATATAAGATTATGAAATAAATCGATTCATTAACCTACAATATGGATTCAAACAATAAGATCTATTAAAGATATCAATTTTTATGAAATATATATTTAAATCTATCCAATCCTACCTAAATCTTCCTCAAATTGAAATTATGTACCTATACTCTATTACCCACACCCCCTCCCCACAATCCTACCAAGACTGCCGAAGAAGCGCAAGAAATCCTCGAAATCGGTTTAACGGAAACCACAATACCCCCCATAATATCCATAAACATTGAAAATCCAATATTCCTACCATATATATTTTATTATCTAATCTAATATCCCTATATTTAATCCTATAATAAACGACTAATAATAACAAATTCAATACACAAATATTCCCAATCAACCTCTTTCCCCAAATCCCGAAACTACAAAATCATAAAACAAATAATATTAAACATATTTAAAAAAAACTGTATAATAACCCACAAATCTTTTTACTTATAATCAATATATATATATATATATATTATATTAAATATATTTTTTTCAATTCATTAATATATCATATCAAAATAATCCTTTAAACCAATTCATCAATAAATACCACCAAATATCCCATTAAACACATCCCACCAAATATCTCATCAAAATAATTCCCAATAAATCCCGCCAAATATCCAAAAACAACCCAATAAATCCCAACAAATATCCCAAAATATCCCAAAATAATTCATCAATAAATAATATTAACAATATATTCTAAAATTCGTTTTTTTAAGGTAACAAATAAATAATTTCGTGTCATCCCCCATTAAATTTCGTTTTAAGAAAAAACAAATCAAAACCAATATATAAATTATCGAAATCAATTCATAAACAAATAAATAAAATTCTAAATACAAAACTTATTAAGCAATCATAAGCCCCAAACCACTCGAAAACCATGCTTAAATTCACACAACCGTATTCATAATCGTAAATCTTCAACATCCCCTCGATACAACAACACAATAAACAATATCCACTCTCCATTTTCTCCCTAATCATACGTATAACCGTATAACATTCCAAACCTCAGAATGACGACGCACCACACAACATCTATAAACCCCCCCTAGCCCCGCGTATAGAGATAGCGGCTCAGTACACAACGTATGCAATCACCCCATCCCATCCCCACATCCCAACGGCGCTAGCCACCCGCACAGATCGTGGTTGCGCGACGGCTGAGGTCCGTGCATACATGAAGCATTCACACAATATTATATTATATTATTGATGTTATCATTAAAATGATGTCTGTTTTCTTTCAATTTTGCTTGTATCTATTTATGCGGTTGGCATTTGCCATTCGCTATATTAGGCCGTGAAACGTCTCTGCCCAATAGCAAGTATCTGCTCTGAGATTATGGGCCTGAAAAAGGTTGAGCGCAAGCTCGGAGCCCCAGTCTCACTTCTTGAACCAAACTTCTCCATCGCTCCAGACTATCGTGGTCTCTGTTCCCTTCTTCGAGACAGCCTCAGCATGTCACACACATTGAAACAAAAACTCTGATGAGCACTACCAAGCAAACGCTGGCTATGAGGTACAACTAAGATAGAATTTGGCTGGCCAAAGACACTCAGCTTGGCAGAGGCCCAGCCAAGTCACTCCGTTGTGCGTTTTCCCCTCCAACAAGATGCTGATTCGAAGTGAATCCACCTCCACAGGGCAGGGAAATCAATCACAGCAAGCCCGTCAAGTGATAGTAGCAGGAACCATCACTGAAAAGTCATGCTCAGTCAACGAAACCCCCGAGAGAACAAGAACTACACCAAGCAAACACACCCTATCATGAGCCCTCCGTCAACAGTCCAGTTTTGGCTCATCTGTCTCTTCTGCAGCCTCTGTCAAGTTGCAGGGCGGGTGATTAAACCCAGGCACCCATGAGATCGTGTCGTCCTGAACATGCAAAGCACAACCAGATCAAAATTAGCCGTCGATTGCCTCGAAAACGTGCAATCTTCGTCCCTGAGTGCGACATCCACTTCTGCGCCCACTGCAGTCCTTGATGTTTCCCAGGAACACATTATCGCCTCTCCGGAACCACGAGCCATTCAGGATTCCACCCATGAAGCTTGCCTGCGCGGAAAGGCTCATTTCAGTCACGTCTTCTCTTCAGGGCTCGCTGATGAGCGCTCAGAGTGTCAAAGTGAAACCACGCCAGGGAGTGGGAAGAACCTTTCAAGGGAGAACGCCTGGCACCAAAGATTGCACCACACTGGCCTTAAGCACGCTGCAAGGGAGAAGGCCCACCACACAAAGGATCATCTGTTTGTCCAGCTATGAAATCATCAAACAAGGCAGGGCAGCTGGGTTCATGGATTGCCAGGGTCTAGCCGGACACTGCTGTATCGATACAACTATGTGTGTGCAGCTGGACACATCTAATATGAGGTTATATTGCATGAAGCGCACTATTCACAGCACGTTACAACCGCTTTTTCTGCCAATGCCTTGGCAAGCTTCACCTGGTCCGTCAGGACTGGGACCTCAATGCACGCTAACAATGCTCGTGTCTTGTATGTAGAACATGCTACCGTGAGGAAAATCAGCTAGGAAAACACTAAAAACGGATCACTGAGCTGATGGCATGTGCAGCAAAAGATGCAGCCAGGCTTCTGAGGAAACATCGATGTTGGCGCTTGTGGCTTCATGTTGGTCGCATTTGCAAAGGCCCTGCCCCATGAGGCCTCGGACAAACAATGACGACACCGTGGCATAACCCGGAAGCAACCTGGCAGGCAGGGCCTATCAAAACATCCTCAAAAACAGGTGCCATCCGTTTGCTGTTCTGCACGATAATTCCAATGCTAGAATCCCTATGATTTCTGTAGTTTGCCAACGGCTAAGCATGATAGACTTTCAGCCTACTCAGCTTGCTGTTGCAGCAAGGAGCTGTCACGCGATTCACCACATCCGTGAATCCCGGCTTTCCTTCAAACAAGTTGCTGCTTTTGTCCCCCTGTTGGCACACAGCCAATCGCCCACTGCTCTCCTTGCAAAGATGGAGGGCATAATCACACATCCATGTATTGAATAAGAAATATGTCCAATAATACTAACAATACTACTACTAATAATGATAGTAAATAATAAATAATAAATATACATAAATATAATGACCATAATAATAATAACCACAATAATAATGATAACAAATCATAATGATAACAACAGTAACGATGAATAAATAAACAAACAAGTAAACAAACAAACAACTAAATAAATAAAACTATTACATGTATATACATACAATAATAATAATAATAATAATAATAATAATAATAATAATAATAATAATAATTAATAATAATAATAATAATAATAATAATAATAATAATAATAATAATAATAATAATAATAATAATAATAATAATAATAATAATAATAATATAATAATAATAATATAATCATAATGATTATAATCATAAATACTAACAATAAGCATAATGATACTAAACATAACAATAATAATACTAAACATAATAATAATTATAAACATAAGGCTAATAATGATGCTCAAGTGCGAATTCGGAGCCAAGTTGCCTCCTGTCCCTCCGCGAGCATCCAATGATGCAGAGCTTGAGCCGAGGCTGAGAGAAGAATAGCAATCGACGCAACCGATTCGCCGCAAAAGGAGTTGGTGCGCAACAGGTTCAACAAATCGCCCAACACATGTTTCATTGATTTGCTGCCTCCGGGTATGCGTCTGGCACTCAAAGACATTTTGGCTCACTGAGAGTCACTGAGTGGGAAAGGAACTTGCTTCTGAAGTCCGGAGCCTGCCTGCAGGCGCAGTGGCCGGATTCCCTAATCTCAGCATACGCTCGTACGTCACAACCGCCTTCCGGATTCTATCACAAGGAGTGACCTGGATAAGTTGTTTCTCCAGCTCTGCCTGATGCACCTTTTGCACTGCATTGGAAATACAGTCCATTGCCCACTCCAGCCCACTGTCTGGAGCCACTTGCATCGTCCCTCGATGACCTTCAGGCTGCAAATTAACAAGCCAGGGCATCTCTTTGAGATGACACCCGGGATGCATTCCCTCCATGCATTGCATGTTCCCTCTCACCATCCGGAGTCTTCACTGCCCTGGAAGCTTTCATGAGCGTCCGAGTCCTCAAACGGGCAACGGCTATCATCTGGAAGGCATTTCAGTACATAAAATAACTTCTGTTGCTTGCAACTCCGTCCTCTGGAACTTCCAGCATTCCTTCCTCTTCCTCCTCATCCTCCTCTGCTTGCTCTTCTTCCTCCTCCATATGAACAGGTGCCTCAGTGGTTCACCAGGACGAAAGGGCCACCAAGGCCAGGGTGCCAGGGCGCCGGCCAAGTTTTGGCCAGAGCCAGCTCGCTTTGCCTGAACCGAGGCGGAAAGCCCGCACCCCAAGTCTGTTCAAGAGCAAGAGCAAGCCGGAGATATTTAAGATAAGGTTCACGTCTTAAATACCACAAAAATGTCGATCAGCCACACGCACTTGTATGCCCTGGGTTCGTGCCTGCATGCGTGCTTCGATCTCTGCCTGGAACCTGCATGCGCCGCGCTCTTCTTGGCCGTTGCAACAGTGCTGAAGACAGCAACGAGTCCGGCGACACAGCGAGACGTGGCTCTCTCGTGGCACTGCATCGGTTGGTCTGGTTGCCAGGATCACCGCTTGGGCCAGTTAGAAGCCCGTGGAGGGCTTTCTCTACCCCTGTAACCGACCATGTTCCGCTGATGGACGGACTTCAGCGGTCACTGACATGATGTGATTGTTTCTGGACAGAGGAGCAGCCAAACAAGGTGTGAACCTCCAACAAGTGCGCAAGCATGAGAGTTCTCGCCGAAATCGCAAGCCAGCCTGTCCGCGAGGCACTCGCGAGGCCTGGCAAAAGCCATGCGACAGCGGTAAGCCAAGTCCTCGAGTCACTCCCCCCCCTCCCTCGTGCGCCAAAGGAGATGCTGAGATGCAACTTAGGCCGTTCGCTGACACCATTAGGCAGCACTCACCATTGCGTCTAGTGGACTTGAATGAAGGAAGACCAATTTATCGCGTTGTGCGTCGAACTTGTTGAATTCGGCTCAGCGAGAAGAGTTGTCAATCCAAGGAAGCTCCATTTTCTGTTGAAGCTACGGATGGTTCCGGGCGTTCCGCAGGTCTGTGATGAGCAAAGAGTTGATGCAACCTGCTAGTTCATCATCCATTTCGGGAGGCATATCGATATCGATTTGCTTGAGATGTTTGTCATCATCCATTTCGGGAGGCATATCGATATCGGAACGGGCCGGGAGCGCGCCAACCTGCTGTCCCTAAACCCCCTTGTGCACAGCACAAGCAAAAACATCAAGAAGCAAACCCAATCTGGTTCAAAAGGCCTTCTCGTTTCGGAGAATCAATCAGTCATCCAGGAAGTGTTGGTTTCAAAGGTGGGCGAGACCCACTCAGTTGCTTTTCGCTCTGTCAGCATTTTCCATGGTTTTCAAGGGCCTCCCAAAAGTGACAATGTGGCCCACTCCCAATACCAATGGTGTCTAGGACCTAATCTAAGAGTGCACGATGAGTTGTGCCGAGTTTTGGGGGATTGATTTGCCTTTGCTCCGAATCCTGCTTCGTGTGTTGAGGGTACTTTTCTTCGCCAGGACTCAACGCCTGACTATCAGTCCCCCGAACCTGCCCCAAAATACAGAACATGCACCATGGAGAGCTGCACTAGCAATTGATGCAAGACTATGGCAGAAGTGCCGACTTCCAACAACGAAGGTGGAATGTTATGGCTTAAAAGGGCAACAAAGAGGACGCCAGCTGAAGGGACAGACACGCAAACACACACACACACAGACTATATATATATATATTTACACATATACACAATATATATATATATGCTAACGGGTGCGTTTCCAGGCTTCGTTGGTGAGACCCCGTGGTGCTTTTGCATGCATTTTACCAGTGTTCGCAGCACATGCCGGTTATCCCTAAACAGACGATTTCCGTCCGCGTTTTTCGTTAGTGTTTTCACTGCATCAGCATGGCGAGTCCCTTGTGCTCATGTTTCAAACGAACATGGATACTTTCTTCACGTGTGTTTGAAGCGGGGGTGGGGGGGGGTGGGGGGCTAATGTTATTCATGTGGACATGATTCGATGTTGAGCTGAGTTATGTGGCATGCTCTCTTGGCTGTTTGGTCAGGTTCGAACTCGTTCTGTTGTCAAGGTTGCGCAGAGTTGCTCTGCGCTAGCACATGGTAAGCACACCCGCCCACGCGCATGTCGCTCAAGTGTACTTATGTCTGAAGCGCCAATAAAGCAAGGCTGGATGGATGAAAAATGCGCGGCGCCTAGGCGAGAGAGCGCCTGCAAGTGCACCCGTCGGGATATATATATATATATGTTCCAGGCCGTGGACCCCCCCCCCTAAAAAATGGTAAAAAGGGGGGGCCCGGGGGGTGGCCTGTTGATGGTTGCCTGTTCTGGTTTTTATGTCAATCTCAAATCTGTGTTCCCCCTTATTCGTTTTGAAAAGGGTGTTTTTGGGGAGCTTATATATCGTTTTCGTTAAGGTAATCATTTGGGTAATTGCCCCCCTTGTTCATTGTTGGGCTGGGGGCCGACATTTTTTTCATTTGAAAGAGTTAACCCTTTTAGTAGTTATCAAGTTCTGGGATGTTGGTGGTGTATTTGTTTTGTTAGTGTTTTTCTCACTAATTTTCATGTATAGGTTAAAAGTTCAGTGTAATTATAACATATAAGATTTTACATGTTATTATTATATTCTGATTATAATTTCAGTTCAGGATAATAATTTAATTGATTTGTCTTACTTCTTTCATACATCATTTTAAAAATAATATTAATATCTCCCACTGTATTTTGAACATTAAACTTTTTACTTCCAACAAATAATTTGATATGTTCTTTAACATCTTCTCCTTTCTTTTGACTATAACCCAACATCCATAGTATATCATCAATCATTTCATATTTTTCTTACTGATTTTAAGAAACTGTTTAACATAATCATAAGGTGGTATTTTATTTACAGTTAGGAATATTAAAAATCTCATCTTCTACATTTCTAGTATGTATTCTTTTTATTCCCAACAGACATTTGATTATCTCTCCAATTTTTACAATTCTTACATATGTCTTCTTCACCATCCATTGAATAGTTAATAATATTATTCACCATTTCCTTAAGTAAATTCAATTTATACAATTCCATATTTTCTTTTTTGAAGTGACAACAATCATGGCATTTTTTATTGATATAATTATTGATTTCATCACCGTTCATTTTCCTCTTAATATATAAGGTAATATTTCTTTAAGTAGTTTTGGCTAGGGGTTGCTCTGAAAGAGAGCACTTCACAATGATGAAACCAAAACACCGTTTTTCCTTGTTTCTAGTGGTGTTTCAGCAGTGTGAAACGTGCATTTCGCAACAGTGAAATAGAGGATTGGAAATAGTCATTTCACAATACTATAGTAGGGTATTTCCTTTCCTAATACTAAGCTGTCGGATTTTAAGCTTCTTACATAGGACTGACATCGTATCCGTAATTCGGTCTGCCGTGTGAGTCCTGTTTGTCAGACGGCACCTCCCTCGACGACTACAAGGTATCGGGCGGGTGGGTTTTAACAAGTATATCACTAATCAAACCAGTAGGAATTTTGTATAACTCATCTTGTTTATGTTTGATGTATCCCTCACCCCAATCTGATTTTTTACCCGATGGCAACCGTTGAGCAGTTTCAATATGTTTCCCATTCCTAATTTTCCCACAATCCCTTTTACATAATGGTTTGGGTTTGCAAGTTGTTATGTTTGTCCAAAGCCTTGTTCGCTTCCTTCTCCAGCTTCAGTTGGTTGTAGCGTAGTCTATTGTATTCCTGTTTCTTCTCACGGTTTTTTAGGTAATACTGGTGATAGTAATCTTTCATTTTCTCTGGGTTTGCTTCAACATACGCTTTGTGGTTTTGTAGTCGCTTTTCTTTGTTCTCGTAGTAATACTGTTTGTCTCTTTCTTTGTATGTCTCTATATGTGTTTCACGGTGTTTCTTCTTTCGTTGATTGATTTTGTCTTTGTCTCTTTCATAGCGTTCTTTGTCGCGTGCTTTTATTGTATCAATATTGTTGAAACATCGCTGTTTGAACATGTCCTTTTTATCTATGTAATATTCTTGTTTGTTTCTTCCTGCCTTTCTTTCATTTAGTTATGCCTGCTGTTCGGCTATTATATCACCTGCTCAATGAAGAAATTGTCTATACCAAGTCTGTTCATTTCTTGATGCATCAGCATTTTTCCACAATGTTTAGCATCATGCCTATGCTTTGCCATCCGTTTGTGTAGTGTTTGTTTAGTGCTGCCAATGTACATTGTGTTGTTCAATGTGTTTTTGATGACATAGATTTGACCCTTGATGATTTCTGCTTCTATGTTTTCCATAGTCTTGATTATTATAAGATACAATGTATTCTTTCACTATATTTGGTAAAGATTATGGAGAAACTCATTCTAATAATTTCATATTATTAGAACTATTTAGATAATTATTTTATGGAGTAATGCCCATATGGCAATGAATTGGCAATGAATTGAAAGCATCAATGTAAAACCTTTTATTTTCATAATTACTGAGTGATTGCTTGACTTGAGACATTGAAAATAATTGATGGTTGCGACTACGAATAAAATTATATGTTATTTCATGCTTTTTGTTTTGAAATAATGCTTCGTGGTAGTTTTGGTAAGTCAGTTCTTTCTTCACCTTGTGTCTCACTACACCTTTTGATTTCTTTTGTTCTTCTTCTTCACCGTGTATTGTAAAAGCATACGATTTAGGCGTTAACCCTATGAATTGTGTTATTGTTTGACCGTTGCACTCATCCTTGAAATAACCGAGTTTTTTCTTATTTGTTTTGTCATGGCAGGGGTGTTCAGGTGGATAATCGCTAAAGTCCATATATTGGTTTAATTCTTTGAAGTCCTTGTAGATGTCCTCAGTGAACGTTTGAATTACATAACTGTCAGTATCAGTATAAACCAGATTGATGTTTTCATTGTATTTCTTCTTAAGAACATCATAGTAGAACTGATACATATGTAATTTACTGATGTCAAGGATTGTCATTCCTAAGAAAATCGGCTTGTCCAGTCTCAGTTTCGCTTTAGTTTTTTCAACTCCTACAAGGTTTTCATTAATAATAAATCTATTTTTGAATGTTGGATTATTAACACATTTTTCATATCTTACCTCATTATCAACTAATTCAAAGCCCATATGATTTCGTTTGTCTTCCATAGTTTTTCCATACTTTCTCAAAATCGATTTTACCAGTGTTGAAGTCAATCCACGGTTTCAATCATGCCCTCTGTTGAAATTTTATTATCCTATGGACTTTGGTCATTTTCAATCCCATTTTCAAATAATACTGTAAAGTCTTGATATGAACCACATATTTTTCTTTATCCTTTAGATTCAATATTAACTTACTTGTTTTCTCGTCCTTCGGGGTTTTTCCATCATAATATATTTTGAAGACTTGCTTTTGATAATCGGAAAGCATATTCACATTTACATTCATTATTTCAGGCGCTAGTGGATAGTCGGAGTGGAAGTCGTGCAATGTTTCGGGATATTCCAAATCAACTTCCATAATATAACCAAACTCATCGTTTTCATTCCAATATTCAACACTGGGCGTGTTCTTTGCCCTCTTGATATTTTTTAGCGGTAACTTCTGGGACATTGCTAAACCATACAAGTTATTAGCATCCAAGTAACTAATATAATTTGATGGCTTGTTCTCATCATATGCTTCCTCCATATACTTAGTATTTGCCACTGCTAATTTATGACTTACCTGACACATACCACCTCTCA